ATACGTCTAGTGAACAAATAAACTAAGACCTCCCTTACAACTAACAGACATAACACATGACCACTCGAGACGGCACACGAGTCACACTCCACAACAAAGAGACCCAATAGAGCATCAAACTGAAACCTTAGGGCGTGCTTGTTTATGAAATATTTCATTCAAAGTGAGTTATTTTAGTTAACTAGAGTTAATTTTGAAAAATGTAGTATGGTTAATTGTTAGTGGGATTTTAAGAATGTATTAAAATAATATTTAAAATAAAATGATTAAAATTAATTTGATGTAAAAGTAGGAGATAAATGATTGGAAATGATTAGAAATGATAGGTAGTTAAAATTATGTGAATGAATGAATAGTGAATTAAAGTTGATGTGATGTGTAAGAATGATTGATTTGTATTATTTAATTAAATGAATAGTATTAAAGATAATGAAGTTGGGTTAAAGTTGAGTTAGATTTTGAGCATGAATTGATTTGAAAATGAAATAATTTGTAAACAAGCATGCCCTTAGACTAAAAAACTGCAAACACTCTGATGTAGAGCAATCTCGGTCCAGATCTGGACTTCGAAAATCTACCATGCTGGGTGAAGGGGGGAATCCACCACGAAAGCACCAACAACCCACGCCGGAGGGCTTGAAAAAGGGACCAAGCGCGCAGTCAGGCGTTGACGGCCTGCGACCTCGACCTGAGCCGAGGAGATAGGCAGTGACGAAAGCTACTATTGTCCTTGTCCAAATCTCTTGCAAAACCTCGAAAGAGGTGAAAAAAGAGCCCCCAACCCCGACTCAACAGAAACCGACACTGATAGCGCAGTGGCAAGTCGACGGGTGAAGGAGGGACAACAACAAGAGCCGAGGCCTTTGGTTTTTTCGAAGCGATAGAGAAAGAGAGGTGCGTCCCTCAGCGCGTGTTGAAAATTTAATCAATCTATACTCTAGTAGACGTGTTTATTGGTTAGCAAATGTTATTTGGTTAGCAAAAGTTATAGAATGTTTTTTTTAGTTAGGAAAAGTTATAGAAAAACAAACCTAAGTGTAAATCCATCTATAACCTAGTAGACGTGTTAGCACAAGTTATAGAAGTCAAACTTAAGTGCTACACATTACAGGCATATCTGTTTGTTATAGAATAATGTGTCCTCATTTTCACAATACAATTCATTTTTCATTTATAAAAACATTTAAAACATTATTATAGATTAATGTATCCTCGTTTTCACAATACAATTTATTTAGAATAACTTTTCCTATTGTTTGGTAAGTTGGTAACATGCATACAAATAATATCCACACAATCTACAATAAGAGGACGCGTAGCTTTAACGATTTACAAATATTTTAAAACGACATTGAATTTTAATACAATGGCATAAATAAATTTCGAAAGAGGCCAAAACGAAAAATCACTAAAGCAGAGTTGCAGCTCAGTCTACTCTTCGTCTAAAATCGAATCCAATTGAAAATTAGGGTTTTTACTGTGTCCCAACTCTGCGAAGTTTCTGGTTTCTTCCTTAGCTCTACGCAAATTCAGAATTTCGCACACGAATTCAGGTTGAAGTCAGATAAAGTGCTCCGACATGGCTCAACCCAGCAACACAGTGAGTACAAATCACTACATTATATGTGTTTTGTCATCTGTTTTTTTTTTTTCTTTTTTTTTGGCGAACCCTATAAGATTTCCCATTCGCTGCTTTTATGTGCAGGCTGCTGGAGTTGATAACACTTTTCGAAGAAAATTTGATCGAGAGGAATATCTACAGCGTGCTCGCGAGCGCGAATTAAAGGTCTGATTATTATACTTCTTAAATTCAAATCGCGTCAAAAAATTTCGTTTGTGCTTCTGTTTTTACATACTTGTCATTGCATTTTATTTGCATTTTTGTGTTGGCCTGATCGTGGTTTCTGTATTTTATGTTTTGTTCTTCCGTTGTAGGAGGCGGAGGGTCGGAAGAAATCGAAATGTAATAAGATATTTGATGTAGTTATTCTTTTTTTTTTTTAATTATTTTATTTGGGTACATGTGTGTAAATTGATTAAGTGCATAATTTTGGGCACTGAACTTTGAAATGCTTGATTGAGTTGTTGTTCGAAATGTCTTGTGCAGCAAGTGGCCCACCAGTGCAAAGAAAACCATTGAAGCACAGGGATTATGAAGTGGACCTTGAATCACGCCTGGGAAAGACTCAGGTTAGCTTATGTTTAGTGATCTAAAAGAACAGTGTTATTGAATTCATTGTATGCATTGTTTAGAAGTTAGTACACCACCTCAGGTAAGTGTATTTGTACCTCTGCAGAAATATACTCAAATTTTGAATGTAGGATTTGAGATGCTTTAATTATCCGTTTGAATACTTGTGTTGGGATATAAGACCGTGTTTATTAAAAGCTGAAATATGATGGATCTAGACCATGCATTATTAGTTTGATAGTCATAACTCTTTAAGAGTTTGTCCTTTTAGCTGAAATGGAAGACCTATAGAAAAAGTGAATTGCAGAAATAATCATCACTCATTTTTGCACAATATGGTTCTACTTTGATCATAATTGGTTCCTTCAAATTTATATTTATATGCGGTAGTTGTTAATTTCGGGATACGCCACAAACTGCTGAATGTTGTTTGTGTGAAAGTGGCCATGGATGTAAAGGGTGTTTGCTCTTCTTTCTTCTTTTCATGAAGTATATACTTTCAAAGTGTATTTTCCTGGAAGGTACTTGACCATCAGTTTCAAATGACAACATACGTTTATTTTTACCATACATTTAATTTTGGCCACTACTGTTTGAATCTTTTATGAGCACATGCATTTTTTTTTATTTCCAACTTTTCTTTATATGTATTTTTCTTTTAGGTGACTCATTTGATCGTATTTGTTACTTCTGTAGGTTGTGACTCCAATTGCGCCCCTCAGTCAGCAGGTATTTTCCAAAACGCTCGTTTTTAATGGTTTCATATATTTATAGTTATATTGGTAATATTGGCATATTATTTGTATGTGTGTGATTTAGGTTTCCCTGATTACACAGAAGTGGCCAACTTCAAATGAAAACTTACTTTGTGACAGAGTTCTAGTTAGTAGTGCTTAAGAGCTGAGTTTATAAATGGAGCAATGAGCTGTGGAGAATCATCTTTTAAAAGGAGTAACCACTCGAAAGTATGGAATGTGCAGTAGGAATCATCTTTATTATAAACCACATGGGAGTTTCTATCTTATTTTGTTGTTTATGAGCTTCATCTGTTTGCACTTATTATTGATATATGGATTGATTCCCTAGTGTAGCTTACTCAGATAGGAGGGGTTGAGTTTGTTTATAGGCTGTGGATGGAGGTTTAAGATCCTTTTTTCTTTGAATAGTAACTTGCACCCAAAAATGCTCAGTAAGTACCTTTGTTTAATTATGCAAATGGTATTTGACTCCATTTTACCGCAGGCTGGATACTACTGCTCAGTTTGTGAATGCGTAGTGAAAGATTCTGCAAACTACTTAGATCATATAAATGGGAAGAAGCGTATGTCATCAATTATCTATAACAATCCTTATTTTTGTGCGTGTTATGTGTTGTTATTCTTGTCAAACATTTTGGTAGCATTACCTGGATATGCGTAATTGTAGCATATTCCTGGATTCCTTTTTATAGATCAACGAGCTTTGGGCATGTCTATGAGGGCTGAAAGATCAACTTTAGAGCAGGTTAGCTTTAAATATGTTCTTATTTGATTAAATTTTAATTGTCCATATCTTCTTCTATATATCAGTGGTACGACTTTTAATTGAGTTTAGTTGATTGAAATTTAGTTGACCTTAACGGCTTGTATCAGTAGACTATGAACTGATTATATATCAGTTATATGACTATATGACTTTTAACTGGGTGTTATTTGTTCTTGGTTTTTCAGGTGCAGAGGCGGTTTGAGGTTCTCAAGAAGAGGAAAGATACTGGAGGTTTTACAGAACAAGGTATGGCTTAGAATAGAAGAGCTCCATTAATATATTGGCATCCATGTTTAAGTACACATCATTAAGCCCAAACTATAGTCATACTTTGATTAGCACGGTTCTTATCTCCTGTTTTGGCCTCCATTATGAAGTTCTATTATTTGTCATTTTTGGAATTGGAACTATATATGCACAAATGCATATAATCATCTGGCATTTTTGGAAGTTATATTTTTTTATGTTTTTGCATTTTTAATGCTTGTTATGCTTTGTGCTCCGTGCCTTGTTTTAGAGTAGAAAGATCATATTCTTGAGGAGTTATTTAGAGTGATGGTATAACTTATAACCGTCTTGCAAATAAGTATGGTTTGATTTAACAATTTTATGTTATCGTGGCACAATTTATTTGAACTGTAGATTTTGATGAAAGGATCCTTAAACAACAACAAGAAGAGGAGGAAATCAAGCGCCAACGTCGTGAGAAGAAGAAAGAGAAGAAGGTTATTAATCAATGAACCTAATCGTAAATCTCTTTTTAATTATTATTTTATCCCTTTTCTCTTGTAATTGCTAATTTTGATACCGATTTCCCAGAGAGAAAAGGCCGCTGAGGAGGAACCTGAAATCGACCCTGATGTTGCAGCAATGATGGGATTTGGAGGTTTTCGTTCGTCCAAAAAATGATCTATTGGCTGTTTGTGTTGTATTCTATTATATTTCTTTAGGTGGTTTTGTTAGCTGACTGCTTTTCCATTATTGATTTGCAGTAATTTAAGGGTTAATTTCTANTCTTTAAAGTGTTGCAGAATGTATACTCTTAACAAATCTCTCTTTGAAGAAATTAGCAGTCGGGATGCTAATGGGAATACTGAAAATAGCATTGCTTATTCTAAAATTATTTTATTTAGATTATTTAAGCACGTGACGAAACCAATGCATTAAAGAAATGTCGAGATAGATATTATTCAGAAAAAAAATCATTTAAAATAAATAAATGGATAGATAAGTTATTAAAAGTGAAAACTCAATCTAAATTTAGGTTTTGGTTTTTATATATGATGGATGCAATGTGTGATAAAAGTAAAGAAAATTATAATCCTGCTAAATTATTTCAATATGTATGAATTATATTTTGGATTTCTTTTTGTATATCTTATAATTATATATTACCACCTATATTTTGGCTTTATCAACATTTAACCAAATAAATGACGTTTTGGATCTTTTGTACATATTTTTCTATTATTAATCTCATCTAGCTAATCAATACACTACGTTTTTTTATATTCACTCTTCATCTTTTCTCAAAACATCTGTCTCTATCCTCATTAATGAGGATTATTATTGGCAAAAAAAAAATCATTAATACACTAGGTCTTTTTATATTCACTCTTCGTCTTTTCTCAAAACATCAATCTCTATCCTCGTTAATGAGGATGGCAAAAAAAATCCTTAATTACTGTGAAACTTTCACTCTTCATCTTTTCTCAAAACATCCATCTCTATCCTCATTAATGATTATTATTGACAAAAAAAATCTTAATTACTGTACAACTTCTCAAAACGACACTTATTAAAAATAGAAAGGAATATAATAATAAATATAAATAAAGTTATTAATTATTTAATTATAACTTCAATTGTTTACCAAACAAGTACAACAAACTTAAAATTGTTCGGAATAACAAACAAATTATTAACAGTGTTTGTTCCAATTTTCCCCTAGACTTTATTTCCCGGCCGCTTAATTCGGGTCTGTGTTATTGTAAACCATACTCACTCCATGGCCAGAGGCGGCAGCCCCACCGTGGAACGGCGGCTCCTCAGCCTACTCCACGGCGGCCACACCCGATCCCGCCTCCGCGAGATCCACGGCCACCTCTTCCGCCACGACCTCCAACACTCCAACAAGCTCCTCTCACATTTCGTCTCCGTGTGCGCCTCCCTCGACCGTATGCCGTACGCCGCCCGCGTTTTCCGGCAGTCGCCCAACCCCAGCATCCTCCTCTTCAACGCCGTCGTCAGGGGCCACTCCCTCCGCGGACCCTTCCTGGACTCCATCACCGCCTACTCAACCATGAAGAGGCGCGGGATCCGCCCCGACGAGTTCACCTTAGCCTCCCTCCACAAAGCCTGCGCCAATCTCCGCCATCTCACCCTCGGGCTCGGAGTCCACAAGGAGACCCTCGCCCTAGGGTACCATAGGTTCTTGCCGGTCCGGGTCGGGCTCCTGGAGCTGCTCGTCCAATGCGAGAAGATGCCGGAAGCCCTGAAACTGTTCGACGAAATGCCCCAAAGGGAAGCAATCGTCTGGAACCTCATGATCTTAGGGTTTTCCAAAAATGGTGACCTGGAAAAGGGATTGGATTTCTTCAGGCGAATGGAGATAATGGGCTGCGAGAGAACCACCATAACCTGGAACACCATGATTTCCTGTCTAGCACAGGGCAATAGGGACGAAGATGCTTTGAAGCTTTTTCGGGAGATGACTATGATGTTGGACTGCACGCCAGACGAGGCCACTTTAGCAGTGATACTTCCCACGTGCGCCCGATTAGGCAAAACCGGCATTGGGAAATGGGTCCACTCGTACGCTGAGTCGAGCGGGCTCGCCCGAAAATCCATGCAGGTAGGGAATTCGCTCTTGGATTTCTACTCCAAGTGTGGGGATATCAAGCAAGCCCTCGAGCTTTTCGAGCGCATGCCTCGTAAAAACGTGATTTCTTACAACACAATGATCTTGGGCTTGGGTTTGAATGGGGAATGTAAGCGTGGGATCGAGTTGTTTGAGGAGATGAAGGCATCGGGGGGCATAAACCCTAACGACTCGACTTATGTTGGTGTCTTGACATGTTGCGTGCACGCGGGCCTAGTTCAAATGGGTCGGGATATTTTCGGCTCGATTTTGGAGCCGAAAGTCGAGCACTATGGTTGCATGGTCGATCTTCTTGGGCGAGTTGGATGCGTAAGGGAAGCTTATGATTTGATAAGGGGAATGGCGGTGGTGGAGCCGAGTGCCGCCGTGTGGAGTGCTTTGTTGAGTGGTTGTCGGGCAAAGAGTGGGGAAAAGGAGATTGCCGAGCATGCGTTAAACGAGCTCATCAAGCTCGAGCCGTGGAACTCGGGGAACTATGTTTTGTTGTCCAATATGTATGCGGAGAGAGGCGTGTGGAGTGGGGTCGAGGAGGTTCGGGCTCGGATGAGAGAGAATTGTGTTGAGAAAACCGTGGGGCAGAGCGTGGTTGAGTAGGCCTGTAAACGAGCCGAGCTTGTTAAATAAACGAGCCTGAAATCTAGCTGGAGTTCGGTTTGTTTATCACTGATAACAAGTCGAGTTTGAGTCTTAACGAACCGATCTCGAGCTTTAACGAGCCGAACTATAGGAAATTATATAAAAGTTCTCTTTTCGAGCTGAGTCGAGCTCGGCTCGTTAACCAAACGAGCTTTAGCTCGAGCTTTAAACGAGCTTTCCGGTGGTGGTTTTATTGCTTTGTGGTCGAGTTTGAGGATTCTTTGGCGCTTATGATCCTGGCGGAACTTGTACACTGAAAGGTGAAAGACGTGATGCTTCTGGTATGTGAATCGAACGAGGTAGAAATTTGTGACTGTGTTGAAAGGTAGTAGAAATCTGTTACTTGGTGTCTAGTCATGAAGAAAATGTAAGCTATAGAGACAGTCACAAGATTTTGTGATGTTATGAGAGTGATGGTACCAGTCAATAATAATATATTAAATAAATAAATAAATAAAAGAAAATTTTGATTATTGACTTAAGGCTAACTTTTTATGAGAAGTTAGATATTTAGTAAATATAGCTATTCATTTTTTACTTTTTTCATATTTAATTGTAAAAATTGTAGATGTTATTGTATTTGCTACTGGCACTTACTGTGGCTAAAAGCATCTCCAACAAGGCAATCAAATAGAAGGCTTTTTATGACTGAATGACTAAATCGCTTTCGAATGGTTAATGTCTGTACATAAAAAATATACAAACTTTGAACCAATCACAAAAATGTCTATATATACACGGACTTCTTCTTTTTGCTGTTGTACAAAAATGGATAGACAGAATTCTTCCTTTTTGTTAACTAATCGCTTTCGAAAAAACACAAACTTTTGTTGACTCTTCCTGCTGTTGTACAAAAATGGATACACAGAATTCTTCCTTTGGTGTTCTAAAATAATTATGTCCACGACTTTTTTCGTTATGTTTGTTGTATTAAATAGGCTAATAACGCATAATTTTGACAAAATATATACTATTAAATTTATAATATAATTTTAGAAATGTATCAATTTTTTTCTTTTATTTTTCTTTATGTAAATTAATATGCTTTTTTGATAAAGTGTGTACAAATAAATATCAACAAACTATAATTTAATCAACGACTTAGATTATACATTGAAAGTTTTCTTCAATTTTGGTTAATATTTTTGTATATACTAGATACATATTTTAGCAAATAATTAATCATTGCATAAATTTTTCCTCTTTCCCAATTCTCAGGTTCCCGCAAAATTCTTCGTGCGTTGGCAGTTTAAGTCTTTTTCTTAACATAATTATATATTTTAATTAAAGATAAAAAAAAAAAAAGAACCATCATCTCACAGAGAATCCCAAAATAAAGAAAAAAAAAAAACATAATGGTTTGTCGGGGACAAACGAACGAACATGTAATCCCTGGTTATTACTTGATATACTGAGAGACCCATTTGAAGCCATCACCATAACCCATCTTACGAACAATGCTGCACATGAATACCTCAATCGGGCGAACATTTGAGTCAGCCAAGTTAACCTTCCCCTTACCTGTAGTGAGGCTCGTCAGGCCCAAGTGGTAAAGAAGCTCATCTTCAGAAGCAGCATAAGGGATATCGATTTTGTTGCCCAATATCAAAAATGGGACATTAGCCAGGGACTCGTCTGATAATAGGGCATCAAGCTCTTTCTTCGACTCTGCAAACCTTTCCTTGTCATAGGCATCAACTAAGTAAACCACTGCATCAACCTTCCAATATCAAACATAATTAATTAATTGCACACGTTGAAAAAATATGATTTTAGAAAATAGTATCAATGATGAGAGAATCCATAAAAGGAAAGGGGAAAAAAAAGGTCAAGCCGTTAAAGTACTATAAAGAATCGAATCGAATTAGAAAAAGAATGAGTAAAGAAATGGGAATTTGAAATTTGAAAAGAGTTAATGGACACCAATGGCAAGTTGACACATACCATCTCCTAAAGAACAGAATGCAATTCGAGCGCAAGATTAAGAAATTCAGTCATTTGTGGAGATTGTGGAGATACGGATTAATTAACCTATCTTTGATTTGATAATTACTGATTTAGGTGATTGGCTGATTTGATTTCCTTTTCGTTTAACCTCTATATAAAGAGAATTTCGTTCATTCATAAAGAAAAGCAAAAATAAGGAGAAAACGAAAAGGAAACAACTCGATAACAATTTGATTTATTCATTTTTTTAATTCCATAACCTATGCTATTTTACGTTTGTCGTCGACCATGCATAGCCTAGTGTATAATCCAACTACAATGGCCCTTAGACGCGAATATTTGAACAACATAACCAAAAAGCCACAGAATTATAGATTATTATACACAAGCTTGTATTTCATGACATGAATAGGAAACTACTCAATAGTGGAGGCTTTGGGTTATACTCTTCTTAAGATCGTCCACAGAAACTCATCATCAGCAACTGATATTGGAAAAAGGGAAGTGCTAAACAGCTGGAATATCTTATCATAGAAAGTTGTCTATCAGCATTTCAAATACCGATGTCCAGTGAGTTTCATCAATAAGTATGATTTCAGCAACCAAATCAGTAACGGCAACGAAATTGTTACGAGAACATAATAATATGCACCAAATAAGCATACAAAGGATTTGTTATGATTAGAAAAGCACTATTCTGCAGAGTAGCCGTAATCATTTTTTTCTTTTCAGGGACTCAAGAATGGCCAAGGAAGTTTTATAAGGCTGTTTCCTCTTTTGAAGTGTGCATACATCTTCTCCACGGGACATTTCTTCCCAACGTATAATTACACGATACAAATAGAACTTTTAGGAGCTCAACCACATAACAACATAAACTGCAAATTTCCATATATATATAATGAAGCAATGACATTATTTTAGTGATCTGTCACAGGGAATAAGAAGCCTCATCACATTTCACGCATTAGAAAATTTATGACAAGATCATATAAAAATCAAGAAAGAGTATAAGGAATGCCAATATCAGTACATGTTAAAAAAAATATTTTTTTATTGAATCATGTAGGCTACAGCATTGGAATAACATATCAAGGATTTTCACTTTCTCGACTAAGGTTGGAAATAAAAAGGTGAGAGTACTGAATCTAGTAACCATCCCCAATTAAAGTATCTTAAACACCAGGAAGACAAAAATAAGTGACAACTTATTCTTACAACAAAGATACATAAACAAATACGGTCTAAAACATCCAATTCAATTTAAAACTCTGCACATATTTACAAGACAATTACTACATATTACAAATCATTGCAACAGGGTAAATAATCGCTGAACTTAGACAGATAGTATACCTTGGCATAATAATCTTTCCACACTCTGCGAGCAATCTGATGTCCTCCCAAATCAAAAGCCTTGAACTTGATTTTCCCAATACTCAGCTCCTCCGAAGTTGGATGCTGGGTCGGTTGATGCTGCACCAATCTCTGTTCATTTCCAACAACTCAACAATCTCAGATCAATTCCAAACTCAAGCAATTTGCTCAAACTGATTATATTTTCATGTGAAAGATTGCAGATACTGTCTTAGAACAATTCTAATTACACGTCTTCAACTTGGTTCAGATTTAATCACTTGACAATTTAACACAAATGCCAGAGGTTAAAGAGAAAAGAAGAAAAAAAGAAGAAGGAAAACGAAAAACAGCAACAACTTTCATTGTTGACCTACACCTCATAGCCACCAAATGTCTCAGAACCAAATATTTGTGCAACTGTCACAAACAACGTTAATCATATTCCGATCTATCATTCCCATTTTATTGAACAAACAGTAAAATCGTATGCCAAATCCCAACCAAGAGCTACACAGCAGCAAGATTCATTTCGACTGCCAACAAATGAACACAAAACAAACAAATATTCAGCAGATACAAAACAGAATAGAAGAAGGAAATAGGAAAAGCACCTCATCCTTAAGCATATGAAGAAGGGTGGTTTTGCCAGCATTATCAAGCCCTAGAAAAAGGATCTTCGCTTCCTTTTGCCACAGGCCAAGCGATGCGAGCACTCCATAAAACCAATCCAACAAGAACATCTTCCTTTTATTTTTCCTGATTAGATTTCACCTCAAATATTCCTGAATTGATTGATTAATGGATCGATCGATCTACGAACGCTGCGCGGTTCGCAATCTCTCGATTGGCTCAACGCCTCTAATCGCGATCGCTGTTGCTGAATTTTTGTATCTCTGATGCTTTCTTCTATTTTTGTTTTCTCGTTGGGAAAAGAAAATATATTGTCGGAGGATATAAATTAATAAATACCGAACCCTAGAGAGGTAGGTAATGGTGGTCAGGTCATTGATGATATATTTCATATGGAGAGTGAAAAAATATTATTTTTTAAAATAAATAATACTAGTACAACACCCATGTATTACATGGGTGCCTCATTCATGGACGGATTCATAAAAGTGTGATGGGTATCCGGACAAGTCAAATCCAAGACCGTCCTGGCCGGCGTCCACCCTTATCATAAATAATCAACATATTATAGATAATCCGAACCTAAATATATTTGGATTAGAAGTAAACTAAATCTACCAAGCCTAATAACAAAACATGTATTTTTGCCACATAAGATCCCGAAGCATGCGAGTCTGCCACATGCTCAGCACGTTCTCAATTAATATATAGGGAGGGATATCCTCATCACCAGTTAATCCATTTTTTCAGATTGATTTAACAACAGTCATTATGTGACATTTTCTAAATAGGTTGATTTTTTTATATTATAATTAGAAAAAATATGAATGTTTGTCAAGTGTACAACTAAAATGTACCATGACTCTAAATTCAAATATGAAATAAGTCATTTGAAGGAGGGTAACAAATGGGGTCATTGAATCTAAGCCCAATATAATTCTTGTAGTTCAATTGGTGAATTCGCATTCAAAACATATAGTTAAGTTAAACAAGAAAACAATTCGAGAATTCTAAGATTGTGATGGCATCGTTTCTTCCTATCACTTGACAGTAGTAGAATAATCCTTATAACCAGTTAGTTATTGTACTTTATAATAGTGATTGTACTTTATTTGAGGTTAATATAATAGTATGTCATTTGGGGAAAAAAAAATTACGGATTCAAGAGTATGCAACACTATCCTCTAAATATCCTCTAAAACTGGATGGGTGAAGAATATAACTGATTCAAAATATAAACCTCATTGCATCAGGCACAAAAACTAGTCTCTGTGAGTTACATTACAACAATGCCACAGAAACCATATGTGACTGAAGATGAAATTCACCCGCTTATTCAAAAGTTGTACAAAATTCGACAATAAAATGATGGTTGTCTTTGGCCAAATTGGACTCCTAAAGAAACTTCGAAGAACTGAGAGAAAATAAAAAATAATAATAATAATAAAAATACAAGACCACAAATTTTGAAGCACAAGTGCAACAGAAACTTTGTATTTTAATATTACAAAATGGAGAACGGCAGTGCACTGCACAAGAGAATCTTATTTCGAGCAACTATTTTTTGTAAGTCCCGCACCTTGTGAATTTGAATAAGTTGCGGCATTAGAAAAGCCTAAACTGGAATTGGCTCAGCAACCGCATTAGAGGTGGTAAC